CAAAACATTTCTTTTTCTTCTTTAAAAAAAAAGTTTTGGCACTTTTACTTGTACAATACTACCGAATAAAGATGAGACAGAAATTACTTAGTGTTTTAGTGTTGCAGATACAGTTAGAATGATCTTTTATGTCTGATCTACCATTCCATTTCACTGTCTTTCTGTCTGCATGTCTGTCTATTTGCGCTTTTTAACTCTTTCTTTTGATGTCTGCATCCCCACGCTTCTCATATGCATAAAAAGTAAATCAAATAATGTTCTTTTTATGGAAAATAAGACGCTTTCGTGTCGATAATAAGATTATGTCCTTTTTATATTTATACCATTCTGTGATTGAAAGCGGGGTAATATATTATTGTACTTGCTGCTGGGCTGTGAATTTTGACCTCGTGGTGTGATAGATGGCTTGTTTCTTCTACATTAGTTGTGGGTGAGCGCTAGTTAGCCACTGTGTACTTCTTCTGTTGAGGTTGTATTGTTTTATTTGCTTTCTGTCTCGTTGAAAAATCTAAATAGAGGTAGGCTTACCAATCACGACCGCGACCGCTGACAGCAAGATTTCTTCACATTTGATGCTGTACTAATACTATTCTCTTCATTCAATCTTTATTTATCTATTGTTTGTGTGTATGTTCCTTTCTACTTTTATAAATCTGCTTTATCTACACAAATGATTTAGAAGTTGCTCTGTGACATGAGCACTGACTTGTACAATTTCAGAGGGAGAGACATGTGGGGAAGGGGAACCCCCCGATCATTTTCTAGTCATAAAAAAGGTCATTTAAAATCGACAGTATTTAATTTTGTTCCTTATTATACATTAGAATACAAGGAAAACACTGGAGGACAGACAAAGGTTATTTTAATTTGTGTACCGCACGTCGGCCAAGTTCATGAGCGTCTGTACAAGATTCTTTGGAGTAATGTTTAAAAGCTCTTTGTTTGACTCGGGCATGAACTAGGTTATTATAAGTTAGTCAAAAATTTCTGTTCTTCTTCTAGGATGCTGTATCCCGCTCAGACTTGTATTATATTACATATATTACATTGTATATGTATACAAGTATATAAAATGTTTTATATTACATAATATATAATATGTATATATATATTATATATAAAATATACATATATGTATAAATATATTTATATATATATACATGTACATGTATATAGGCCTCTCTCTCTATATATATATATATATAAACATATATATATATATATATATATATATATATATATATATATATATATATAAAAGTAAAGAAAGCAACCTTTGCTTTCTTTTTGTTTTGGCACTTTTACTTGTACAATACTACCTAATAAAGATGAGACAGAAATTGCTTTGTGTTGCAGATACAGTTAGAATAATGTTTTATATATCTGATTTACCATTCCATGTCACTGTCTTTCCCAGTTTCTGTCTGCCTGTCTGTCTATTTGTGCTTTCTGCCTCTTTCATTTGATGTCTGCATCCCCACGCTGCTCTTGTGCATAAAAATAAAAAGTAAATCAAAGAATGTTCCTTTAAGAGTATTAAGAAGTTTTCGTGTCGATAATAAGATTATGTCCCTTTTTATACCATTCTATGATTGAAAGCGGGGTATTATAATTTATATTGTGTTTGCTGTTGGGCTGGGAATTGTTGGGGGAAAGATAAAGAAAAAATTTGACAGAACCATTAAGAAAGCCAGCAAAATCTCAAGATATTATTTTACTAGAAATGGTGAAATTATGAAATGTATACCAACAGTGGTATAAAAAAAATGAAAAGCATTATAAACGACCCATCACACCCCTTTTCCACGCAAATTGTAAGATAAGGCAGCGGCAGATATATACCTCTGAAAGCAAAGAGAGAACAATACAAAATATTTTTTTTACCATCTAGCTTAAGGCTATTATCAGAATAAGCATCAATGTGCATTGCTCTTTGGAGTATGTATCTACGAGGGGGGTTCAATAAGTCTTTGATCTGGGTATGAAGGAATCATGGTAGAGTAATGAAATTTCGGCAGCCTTTAGACAATTTCTTTGGAGCACACCATGCAAATTTTATGGAAAATCCGACAATAATTAGGCACTAGTCAGCGTGTTCAATGAAACCATGC